GTGTTTCACCGAGGTTGCGTGACTCTGTAAAGCTTTCCATCCTCTCGATCCGTATAGAATGACATCGTCACACACTGTACACAGAGCTTTACTGGTGACATCGAGCTTTTTCACGAAATCCGACACAAGCACAATGGTTCCTCTTTACTGTTGCCTACTGGGGACACCGTCAGCTTTCTATCCAACCAGTCCCATCGAAACGTGTTTTTCAGATCCGCATCTATCTGACGCACTTTAGCTTCGTCGCGAGTCTCGATAACATTCGGCATTCACGAGAAAGGGGTTCAGGAAAGCGAACACGGATTGGTTGTGATTTGCATTTGCCGATATAGCGACCAATCACAACAAGTAAGGCATCATACACGTCCAATCGCAGGGCTGTTTACAATCAGAAGATGGAAAGAGTGATTGGGCGAGCTCGTGAAAACTCGACGATAAGGTACCTGACCCCCCATAAAATTTTCTCAACGGATTTAGACGATTCACAAAAATGATCAATTTAAGAAATAAAACGGCGGATTTCCGCATATCCGTGGAAAATTGCCATCACTGATAACTAGTTTTAAAATCAGAAGTCAAGAATAATGACTGTTATTGTGGATTACATATGACCATCTGGAATTTTGGTTCAGACTTTAGCAAGCATGGAATTTGACATGCTTGATTTGCTTTTGCGGGCCACATAAAATGATATGGTGGGCCACATCTGGCCCCCGGGCTTTGTGTTTGACACCCGTGTTCCAGACAGTTATACCTGAGGCTCTGTTGGGAGGCAGGACCTGCCTGGTGAACTTTGGCCCGTACAAAGAGTGGATTGGCCGGGAGATTAAACCTTAAAAGTGGCGCAATAACGCCAATCAATCTGCTGGAGAAGCCAGAACTGTAAGTAAATGAAACCGCAAACTACATGAGAACATAATATTAGCATTCATGCACTAACGTTTGCTTCATTGTCAAACACAAGATGTTACACATATTTTATAAAGAATAAATTTACACACTGATGTTTGATGCTTCGGCACAAACAACAATCAGGACCTGTCACCCCACTCCAAATGCAGAGGAAGGCTACCCTCTTATCCACTGGAGTGAACCCCAATATGCAGGCGCCAAGCTGTGGGATAATAAGTATCTCCACACATGGTCAATGCCTTTCACCGTGAGCAAATCCAGAGTGCAAGAGAGGCCCACCCCTCTGGAGAGGACCGGTACCAGCGGTCAAGCTGTTAATGGAGGCGAGCCCTACTATCTTCTCTGCCTCACACACCAGCTCAGGCAGAGAGTTGATATTCCATACCCCGAAAACTAGCTTCTGTAGCCAGGGATCGGACTGCCAAGGTTTTTTGCCATTGCCCAACTCTCACGGCACCCAAACCCTTTGGCCGCTCCCACGGGCGGTGAGTATATGGGAAGGGGTATTCAAACTGTGTCCGGCCAGACCACATGGGATTATGCCCGTCCACTAGACCTTCAATACTTAACGCATGTATCCCCTTACGATGCATGACCGAACATAATAAATCTATTGGATGTTGTTATGCTGCCAGTCATCCTTCTTTTCATTAGTGCAGGCCATGTTCTGCATTTACCTCATTTGAGTAATTTGTAAATCGCAAATGGCTGCCCACAAACACACAGATTTAACCATTCACTTATTAACTGTCTACATCAGGGGTGTCAAACTCATTTCACATGGTGGGCCACATACGGCCTGGGTAGATGTCAAGTGGGCCAGACCATTAAAATGATACCATACTTTGCTATAAATAACCAAAACAACATGTCTTTCCTTTGTTTCTGTATAAAGAAGCACAAGAACATTAGGAAAATGTTGAAATTAAATGAACATATCTTTTACAAAACATTTCATGAAGCACCTTACATTTCCTTTGACGAATGTGCAATTTACTTTTATCATTCACATATATGCATTGCAACTGATCCCACTGATTGTACAAACTTTAACAAGTAATTGGTTTTGAAAAATATAGTAATGCACTTTAAGATTAAACGAGATTTATAAAGAAAGGAAGTTTTAAACCATTTACACGTGCATATAAAATCTAAATGTAATCCCTGCCTACACCTTACAAACTAAGGAGCGTGCTATTAAATGTGTAAATGTGAGAGTGCTATTGATAGCGTCTGCTGTCATGGGTCTGTCTCAGTGATGGACTGAGGCTGCTGTTGTCTTCTTCTCTGATCAAAACAGTGTCCCCTAGCGGATACTCAATGAATTGCACCTTATTAAAAATATTTATTCTGTGTCTTTTATGCATTTTCTTCACTTTTAAATTATCCTGTGGGGCCTGATTGAACGGCCCGCGGACCGTTTGTTTGACACCACTGCTTTACATAATCATCTCGCGGGCCGGATTAAAGTCCTTTGCGGGCCGGATCCGGCCCGCGGGCCGTACGTTTGACACCCCTGGTCTACATTGTACTCTTGGATTAGGGTGGTACTCTCAGTACAGTGGTACCTCTACTTACGAACATCTCTTCATACGAAGTTTTCAAGTTACGAAATGCCTCAACAGGGAAATATTGCCTCTTGTCACAAAAGAAATGTCAAGATATAAAAGGTAAAAATATAGTATGAGCTGCTACTTGCAGCTCCGAGTTTCCTGAATGCAACATATTTAGAGCTGCTCTGCCATTGGCTATTACCGAGCATCATCCTGGCATCCCACTGGCTCAGAGGGTCCTCTACCAAATGTGTCTACGCAGTGTCCTCATCAATCGCCCAGGAGGTGTTCCGATAGTTTTATGTAAATGTGAATCACCCAGAAAATGTCTTCACCAGTCGGGCGATCGCTAACTTTGCTGATGTTTGCCTTGGACATTTTCGAAGGATTGTTAAAAGCTGACTAAAGTAAACGTCCTTGGATCAGTTCTTTAAAAAAACGCCAGGCAAAAACCACTTCTGAGAAAATACATACCACTGATCCATTTTGCATCTGGATCATGTATTTGGAAATTCCGTTGGAAGATATCATCCAGTGTTAATTGTGATCCTCCAAAATGTCCACGATCATCTACAGAAAATAACAGGATAAGAATTTTATTCGGTCCGTATGCTGAATAAAGTAAACTCTAAATACAAACATATTATAAGACAACATCTGACCCAAAGGAACTTATTACATATAGCCATTGAAAAATTTTGTGACCCGCCTTGTTTCCTCGGTTTCTTGTTCATTTTAAATGCTTACTGAAACTAATGGTACTTTTGTTTGACCCAATAAATTAATGACAATCAAAGCAGCTAACACGAGTTGAATTCAAGAATTAATTCAGACATTTGACAAAGGTTTTCTTGATAATAACAAAAAAAAAATTCTTACATAAATAGCTATGGCATTGCCTTACCAAAAATTGTGCGTTTAGGCATTCCATGTTTTCTTTAGTGTCAGTTAGTCACTTGATACACTTTTAGTAGTCCCAGACATTATAATGAACAAGAAATTGAAGAAAACATGGTGGTCTTTTTTTTCCCATAGCTGTATTTATGTCATTAGTATGAATTTGGGACCACACCTTGATGGAAAACTGGGAGTTGGTGTGGTGGGGGGTTCAACTGTGGACTTGCCTGAGATGACTCAGACCTTGATTTGCCTGTTAATGATGAATCTTGAGGTGCTGGACTGGTTGGGTTGTGGAAATTCAAGATTAGAATTCAGTAAAATCAATAAGAAACTGTTGTGCCATACTTTATCTCACTGGCACGAAAATATATATTGTCTGAGAAGGCTTACAGGGCGGAGGATTGTGTGAGTGTTTGCGTCGTTTTACTACCATGTGACTGCTGCTGTTTTCCATGAAGAAGGAAAGAGGCGAGTGATGTGGCAGAGAGTGAAGAAGCTAAGCAAGGCTACAGTGAAAGAGTGGTGATACCATGTCCACTTTGTGGTGTGCATGTCCATTATATTTTTCTAGGTGACTGTACAAACTGAGTTTTTTTTTCTCTTTACCATCTTCTATACCATCACCACTGAAAGTGTCTTGACTGAAATGTTTTTTCAAGTTTTTTTCCTTTTGGGTTTTAAAAAAATCTGAGTGCGGAGTTTCAACATTTATGTCTGTGTTTTCTGCAGAGTTTTCACGCGGGAGTTGTTGCCAATGTTGACATTGCCTGCTGTGAGTGGTGGATGATGATGATGATAATGATGGATTTTACATAACGACTTGTTCTTCAACTGCATGGTGATAAACACCACATTTGTGGCCATGTTCTCCAGGGTGTGAGACAATCTAGTTTAAGGCATTACAAGATGTGGTTAGAAGCTGACAATAGATAATGTGGCAAATCTCTTGAGCTTGGTTCCCTTTCTGTTTGACAAACAGTGAACGCCAGCAGATTTAGGTTTCGGCTTTCAGAGACTTTTTTGCCGTCCAGGTGGCGCACGTCATGCGGCCGTCACCCATCCGTCCAGGCGGCGCACGTCATGCGGCCATCACCCGTTCCCATCCAGGCGGCGCACGTTCTGCGGCCAGCTATCTTCCTTGCTGTACTTGCTGCCGCCTAGCTTTTACGTTCAGGTTTCCTGGACACCTTCTTTTGGTTTCTCTGACTGCCTTTGGTTCGTGCATACTTGACCTGCCCCTCTTCCTGACAATAAACTAGTACTCAGTTCATTGTTCTGACTGTAGGTCCTGTGCTCGTCTTTAGCTAAGCCTAACATTTTACTGGTCAAAGTTGGATACGCTTTGCTTTCACGCAGTGTCACACTCACAATCAACCCTAAGTACAATTTAGAGTGATCAATTAACCTGCAGCTAGCCTAACCTGCCATGCATGTTTTTGGAATGTGTGAGAAAACTGGAGTACCCAAAGAAAACCCACCCAGGCACAAAGGGAAAATGCAAACTCCATACAGTGTAGAAAGAGTTCTGTCAGTCGTCATCTGTACCTGTGGGTAAAAAACAAAAAAACAAAAAAGGACGTTTCGCTTCTCTCACAGAAGCTTTGTCAGCAGTAGACAACCCTGAAGTCTCCGTGAAGACTTCGGGAAATTGCTCTGCGCTAAAAAGCTGAGCGTGGCCTATTTGAGGACTGGGTGGGGATGGTTAGTCATGCCCCTATGGTGAAGAGGCCCATTGATTTCTAACGTCCCTATCGTTGGGTCTTGATTAGGCCTATTGTTTGGGCTAGGGCTGAATAGCTACTTTCAGTTAGCCTGATCAGCATGTCTATGTCCCTTGGTGGTCAACAAGTTATTGTAAATAGGAGACAGGTTAAATCTGATACCTCCTTCACGGTTCAGAGAGGGTGAAAATTTTTTAACAAAAAGGGGGGTAAAAGAAGCGATTTTTGTTAAAAAATTTTCACCCTCTCTGAACCGTGAAGGAGGTATCAGATTTAACCTGTCTCCTATTTACAATAACTTGTTGACCAGTAAGGGACATAGACATGCTGATCAGGCTAACTGAAAGTAGCTATTCAGCCTTAGCCCAAACAATAGGCCTAATCAAGACCCAATGAACGGTCACAAGTTATTAAATAGGAGACAGGTCTCCTATTTACAATAACTTGTTGACCAGTAAGGGACATAGACAT